CAATAGGTTCCTTCACATGTCAGAGTAAGAATTTATAAAGGACTTCTTTACATGGTTTTATCTTTCAGTCACACATGACTTTTTATCATAAGGCTGCTTTGTAAAACTGTTAAGATTACTAGTGTATTTCAGGACAGTTGATCTGATAAATGCTGAGACACCTCACTTAATGTTGGGAAAAGGCTAAGTAAACATTTCCAGATGAATATCTGTTCTAGATTCAAGCCTTTGCACCATTTTTAAAACACCAAGATTGCCAAAGTGAAAATGCCCAACTACTGGGAGATGTTAAAGCAGATGTGCATCTTTTGTATGCATTGTGTGTCTCAGTAGAAAGGTGGCTTTATAGTGTAGTGGTTTACAAATGCTAGTGCAATTCCAGCCAGAGACACAAATTCCTTTTTGTGTTGCAGTAGGAAGGGCATTTGGGATAAAACTCTTGTTACATGGAAGCATCTAAAAAGAACTGTTGTGTGTCTTAGTAGAAAGTCTGAATGATACAATTTGTAGCAAAAAGCAGAAAGAACAATAATGCTAAAAACTGTAACATAAAAAAGCTTTTGAGAGGTTGTGGTGCCAAATTGAACTGGTTGACAATACAGGGAGAATAAACACAGTGACAGTAGCACTGACACTTCAAGGAGATGCTGTCAAGTTGCAGAAGGAGGTTGCTCTCTTGAGCACGCTGTAACATTTGTAAGCCATTTTTGTATGAACATAGAGAATAGCACACACAAATGATCAACAAGAGAAATAATACAAAAAGAGGTGTAGGAGGTGTATTTGTTCACTTCTCCACCTGCACAGTTTATTACAAGGCTGCAGCTGAGGTTTTACTGCTTCTTCTACAAATGGCCTTTTCCCTTAAGAATGTGTGCACGTCCAAGTAAGATGAAAACACTTTTTTTTTTAGATTACCTGCTGACAAAAACCAGCAGTCCTGATTTAAGTTCTACTTAAAGTATTGCCTCACTGTTGGGTTAGACGACATTTAAACCCATGCGGGGTTTTGATGGCCTTTGGCAAAAGTTTATAGTGCTGCTACTAACAGTCGCTTGCAATTTTCAGTATCTTAAAATCTTTATGCCCACAGAATATAAAAAATTCTGCTGGAGTTTTATTCTCTGCCAGAAAAGGGCATTACATGAAGCACCATCTACCCAACTAGCTGAAATGGTGCTTAAGTTATGAGAGTCTTGTACTAATTCACTACTACTGCACTACCATTGGTTTTAAATTGAGAATTGATCTGGGAAGGATTTAATTTTAAGTGCAATAGCTGCACAAAACATAATATAATTGGGGTTTTTTTCATGTATAATTCGAGCCAGAATTGGTAATAACCTATGTGTGAAAGTACAGTGAGTATTGGGTATATTACATGAGTGCATTCACATCAGCATGCTAACTGTTGTTAATAACAAAGACAGATGAAGGAAACCTTTGCTTGTTACAAATGTTTTATTACTTACATGTGTTGCTCTCTTTCTACAGGCAAACAGAGGCAGCGTTAGACCTTACGTCAACTTCAATGCCAAACATGATGCTGAAATCCTCCATAAGGCCATGAAAGGGATGGGTCAGTATCCTGCTTAAATGTATTGCTGCTCACTTTCATTTCACATTGACACTAGCATGTTGTTAGGTTTTGTATTGTTGATTGTCATTGGGAAGTCATTTATGGGGTCACACTCTGAAACCCCCCCC